TCCTCAGTCTCCCCTCCCCCCAGTGATCAGACTGCTGCAGGTAGGAGGAATCATTTCCTCCTTCCTCTGTCTTCCCTCCCCCAGTGATTAGTCTGCTGCAGGCAGGAGGAAGCATTTCCTCAGTCTCCCCTCCCCCAGTGATAAGACTGCTGCAGGCAAGTATCCAGTCACAGGGTGAGAGGATGCAGAAGGGGCTGGTCTGTGTCAGACATTTGTGAACACAGCCACCGGGATTGATATGATTGTGTCATCTCTGAGTCGGCATCTCAGTCCAGGAAGTAGATGGTGACCCCCTGGATGATGCCTGAACAAAGATGGTGCCGTCCTTCTGGAGAGGAAAGCAGATGAGGGCATTGCCAGGGGGGAGCATTGTAATCACTTTGATACCCGGAAGTGTTAGACTGACACATTACTCTGAAGTTGGATCCTCATCCTCATTGGTTGCAGGTCCACCTTAGGAATGTTGTTATTCTTGCATACCGTTGCCTTGTCGTGTCGTTGGTGACGGTCATGTGTCTTGTTTTTGTGTCTCAGAGGGTCTCCCGTGGCCTGGCTGGAGAGGACGATGCGAGGGATCGGCCTGGAGGTCCACACGCAGAGCTTTGTCCGAGATCTGCCCTTCCCCGACGAGGCCACCGAGAGATTTGTACGTATAGCAGACTCTGTGCTCTGACATCGGGGGGTGACTGGTCTTGTCTCCGCCCCCTCCTATAATAAAGACCAGTGACTGCTGCTCTCTCTGTCCTTGTGCAAGGTGACTGGTCTTGTCTCCGCCCCCTCCTGTAATAAAGACTGCTCACTGCTGCTCTCTCCCTGTGCAGGGTGACTGGTCTTGTCTCCGCCCCCTCCTGTAATGAAGACCGCCCACTGCTGCTCTCTCTCCCTGTGCAGGGTGACTGGTCACAGGAGGTCGGTCCATGCTTGTTGGTGATTGGTGCTGATCTGCTCTCCTCTCTTTGTTGCAGATGGTGAAGGGAACCAATGTGTACGGCATCCTGCGGGCCCCTCGTGCCGCCAGCACGGAGTCCCTGGTGCTGAGTGTTCCCTGCAGCGAGGGGCAGAATAACAACCAGGCCGTGGGGCTCCTCCTGTCCCTGGCGTCTTACTTCAGAGGTAAGCCTTGTGTGACCAGCAGAGGGCGCTCTTCTGTCTGAGGCCTTACAGTGAGGATCAGTGTCCCCTCCCCCAGGGGTTACAGTGTCGGGGTTACAGGGAGGGTCAGTGTTGGGGTTACAGGGAGGGTCGGTGTTGGGGTTACAGGGAGGGTCAGTGTTGGGGTTACAGGGAGGGTCGGTGTTGGGGTTACAGGGAGGGTCAGTGTTGGGGTCCTAATTATGGAATCATTCCCCCCGTTGTGTCTCTGCAGGGCAGATCTACTGGGCCAAGGACATCATCTTCCTGGTGAATGAACATGACCTGATCGGGATGGAGGCGTGGCTGGAGGGTTACCATGACGTCAATGTTACAGGTGGGGGATGGGCTCCAGAAGCCATTACACCGGATCAGACATCGTATTCTTTGTGTGTGATTATATTGTAATTATAATGGAAGCCGTACCGATCAATCACACCGCTCAGTCCAATAATATCCACTTCCCTTGTCTTCCTGCTGCCAGTGAGCACATCTCCAGCAGTCACTGGGTGTAATGGGCGGCAGTAGGAACTTAACAACGCTCTATGCTTGTTCAGACACTTCCTGTTACAGGGTGACAATGCTCAGTCCCTGTCTCCCACTTGTGCTCTTGCGTTGTCACCCTGTCACATGGGCTTCTGCTGAAGACTACAAGTGGCAATCTCAGCACCCAGTACGCAGACATGGTCCACTGTTGTCACCATCAGGGAACCTGCCCCGAGAAATGCCGTGCAGCCCTCAGGGAAGTGCATGCAGACAGGAAGTGGTTGCAAGAGATCAGCAGCACTCGGATAGAATAAGGCCTCATTCACACTGGAATCGGCCGGCACGTACACCTCCGTGGCAGCTCCCGGGAAGGACAGGCGCTGCGTGTGATTAGTACGCAGTCCCCGGACTACGCGGCTTACACCGCCCTACGCTGACGCACCCTGCACGTCCGTAGGGGTGCGAGTGAGCGTACTCGTACTCTTGACAGGATGGCTCCTGTCTGCGTCCGAGCAAGGAAACGTGCACCCCTACGGATGTGCAGGGTGCGTCAGCGAAGGGGGGGGGGGGTGCGTAGGGCGGCGTATGGCCGCGTATTCCCATAGAGAAGGACAGGGACTGCGTAATAATCACACGCAGCACCTGTCCTTCCCGGCAGCTGCCACGGAGGTGTACGTGCCGGCCGATTCCAGTGTGAATGAGGCCTAAAGGACGAAAAAGGTGAACATGAGGATTTTATTGAACAACAAAATGCCGTTTATGACGCACGGAGCGCACTGGATGTCACCCGCGTCAGGCTTACATCTACTTCAATGGGATTGTCTCCATGTTAAAGGAGAACTATGGGGTCAGGGCTTTTCCCCATAGTTCTCCTAAGGCCCCGTTCCCACTGCACGATATGCAAATCGCGCGTTTGTCGCGGTCAAGCTTGCATTGAGCAAGCTTGAATCGCGGCTAAATCCGCTCCAAAAAGGGTCCTGCTGTAGCGACACACGACCCGCGACAGCAGGACCCTTTGCCACCATTGGATTGCATTGGAGCACGATATCGCGCGGTAATTTGCCGCGATATCGCGGGAATTACCGCGCGATAAATCGCTCAATGTGAACGGGGTCTAAGGGTAACGGGAGGACACAAACTAGCGTCCTCCCGTCACCCTAGGCTCAGTATATAGGGAGCTACAGCTCATTATATACTGAGGCGCCGCAGGTGAAGCGGATGCCGACAATTGTGCCGGGATCCGCCCAGCTGCGTGACTGACAGCTG